TTTAATTCAAACAAATAAATTTTTAACAAGTTTTTATTTTTAATCACAATCAAATATCGACATGCGCAGAAACAACATTACTTTCCGGTCCACCTGATATTATAGCATAGTATACTATAGTAGATATTGAATTAGCCAATAAATAATATCTAAATTATCAGTAAAAAAATTAGTAATATATCGTTCATTTGAATATAAAATACTGAAAATGTCAATATTACTTATTAGACAATCGAATAGAATGTTGAACATATAAAATCGCAAGATTAATCTATTAGATCTATTAAAAAATATTTTCGGTTTTCGGTACAGGTGCTTTGAAATAAAACCGGTAAAATTTTTCGACAGGACTAATATAACGGGTATAAAAAAACGAACTCTAGTGGTTTTTTAATGATCGTGTACATATAAAAAAGAATAAAATAGAGAAACGTTATAACACATGTACGTACGACTTACTACGCGTTTACTCGCATGGTCTATTCGCAAACGCATATCTCGAATGAACTCTTCTCAGAGGTAGAAAATTTTCATTCATACTTAATGAGACTAGATCGTAGAATGAAAGCATTAACCAACACAGAGCTAGTCCGTACACGTGTAGTAAGTAGTCTACGCGCGTGATTAATTTAACGATCGACTTAATCGATATAAACTAGCTGACGTAACGAATAAACGAATTCCTTAATTATTTATTTCTAAACGTTCAGCTAATTTTCTATTACGCGTGAAAGATACGAATGTAAACTATATATACACACACACACACACCTACGTTATATTTTATTTTCTAGAGTAAAAGATAAAATCTTATCAATGATTCAGATTGCAAAGAGTAATACTTTGAAAGTATTGAACTTCAGAAAGTAGTAGAAAATGAAGAGAAAGAGAATTCAGATATAAGGTAAATAGTAAACGAAAGTGCACGTCTCTCTCTCTCTCCCCCCTCTTCCTCTTCCTCTTCCTCTCCCCCCCCCCTCTCTCTCTCTCTCTCTCTCTCTCTCTCTCTCTCTCTCTCTCTCTCTCTCTCTCTCTCTCTCTCTCTCTCTCTCTCTCTCTACCTTCGATGATTCGTCTCTTGTTTTTTTTCTTACCCTTTGACGTTTTTCTCCCTTTCTTGAAAAGTAGGTCACGACGAAGGAAAAACGAAAGAAGACGATGTTACTAAAGAAGTTTACTCTATACATACATTCATACACACACAAACATCTGCGCGAGCGCGCGCATATATACATACAATTACACGCGTGCGCGCATCCACACACACACACACACACACACACACAGAGAGAGAGAGAGAGAGAGAGAGAGCGCGAATGAACAGGTTCGTATTCTTGATTTCAAGACGACGCATCGATGAATCAAAGATCCTTTTAAGAAACTCTTCCTGTTTGTAAATATGACGATTTTGATACGACGAATAGAGAACAAATTGGGTCGAGAATGTGATAAATACGATTTCTTGT